CATATTCCTGTACAAGAACGCAGGAAGACTGTCCAGCCCCGAAGTACTCCAGGAACTATCTTCGGACCATTTGCCGATTCTCATGCAAATTGGACCAAATAACGTCAACAGCTTCACTGAAACTAGAAGGATCATAACTGACAGGCTTTCCAGAGAACATTGGAAAGCACCAGCAGGATCCATCAGCCCACAACAAAGGAACACCTGGACGAGGCAGCCGAAAGACTCACCAGGGATATTAAAAACGCCCTGGCAACGTCAACATGTCTATCCGTAGTTCCGATAGCCCAAATGGACAGAATTCCTCCCTGGTTAAAAGCCAAAATCAGGGAGAAAAACCGGATAAGACACAGAGCCATGCGAACGCAAGACCCACACCTGAAGAGACAAGTCAACCGCCTCCAGAATGTTATCAAGGAAGACATGAAAATCCTTCGATCGCAACTCTGGGAGGATCGCATGGACGAAATAGAGGCTGATGAGTCAAGAAGCGAACTCTGTAAGCTGGCCAGGTGCCTCACAGCAGGACCAAGGAAGCCTATACCACCAATCGAAGAAAACGACATTTTAAAAAAGCGGAGCTCTTTGCAGCCCACCTAGAGCTTCAGTTCCGGGAAAACCTGGTTGATCACCCAGAACAAGAGTTTTTCTTGCAAATATTTTACATGCAAATTTATAATACCAGTTCCACTACCTGCTTTTAATGAAAGCTTTTGTATATTATGTGGGTGGGGAATAGTTATTACACTAACGTCTCTTATCATTTTATAAGCAACAGGAAAAGTTAATTGTAAACTACTTGCCCAAAGGTACATCCGCGGAATATCGTGGCATTTGTGTAAATGCCAAATCAAACTGTTGTTTCAAAAATAAAAGTTTTTGTTTAACTTTTTCGGTAACTTTGTCACAGTCAGTTTTTACAATTAAATTTAACTGCTTTTTGACGTTATTTATCACAGATTCTATATCAGGCTTAGCGTTATCATTACATAATTGATCAATATATTCGAAAAGTTTGAAAAATTGTGACCATTTTTTGAGAATACAGTCCTTGCCAATATAATCAGGTGATAAATCTACTTGACAATTACGTACAAACACTTTAACTAACAATGTACTATTAACTGAGAAGTGGGATATTACTGTTGGCAAACCCGCACATATATGTAGTTTACTAAAATAAATGGACGTATCATTGTCCAATACTACAAAGCATGTATTGTTTGATTATCGTATAGTATAATTTTGATTTGAAATCATTCTTGAATTTATTAAAATCCCCAATATTATCGGCCGTATCCAGTAGTTTTTGTCTTTTTATTTCCGTGTGCTTTTGGTCGATTAATCTTGGTTCTGGATCGGTTCTTTTAGGCGCATTTTGTTTGGTCAAATATTTTGGTTGGTTTGGAAATATAGATGGGAGAGCATTTGCAGTAAGTCTCATTCGATCTCTTGCTAATACCAATTGAGAACCGTTCTTCCTTTCTGCTCTTGCTTCCCGTATTATGAAAGTTTCTTCAAAATGTTTACTACAAACCACAGAAAATTTTGATGGTATAAAATTTTCCCTGTGAATGTTTCGAAGCCATTGCTGCTTTCTTTGATCATCACGAGGAAAATGAAATACTGTAGTATATTCTTCTCCGGTTTACCGGTTATATGTACCTTTACCCCCTGCACAACCCTTCCAACCAACTACTATACGAACGCACAAACATGACCAAAATTTCGGAAAGACTAATACACTTACAGACAAAATGGACAAACAACCCTCACAACTGGACCATACTGAATCCCCTTTGCCTAACAAGACGGACAGAACATTCCCGTTTTCGTACCCCAACAGATACTTTACTAGAACACCTACAAACGCAACTGAACTAACGACTAAGACCTGTTTGTTTTGTGGGCCGGGAATTTTTTTTTATCACTGATTGAATTATGCCAGTGTTAGGAATAGGACTTAATTTTAGAATAAGCTAGGCTAAGACATATATGTACTACTCAAGGGCAGAAAGACCGATTGGGTCGATAGCCTTATTCTATAGGAAATAAAGATTATTTATATATATATATCTTCTCCGGTATAGTTAGATTTGCATCCAGGCACACAACAACGATCTGGCATGGTTTTTAATCTTGCTTCAAATTAAAATTTGCTCAATGGCAACCACTTGGATTTTTCTCAAAAAAACTTTCATCAACTGAACGGAAATACAGCACATATAACAGGGAACTGTTAGCGATTTATCGTAGCGTTAAATATTTTTGACATTTTGTTGAAGGACGACAATTCATCATTAAAACAGATCACAAACCTTTAATTTATGTTTTTCGGCAACGAACATTTAAGGCATCACCACGACAGTTTCGTCATATCGACTTTATTTCCGAGTTTAGCACTAACATCGTACACATTGCGGGAACTAAAAACGTGTTAGCAGACGCGCTATCACGATTGGATGCTATTACGACACCTGTTATGGTAACAACGTCCGAATTAGCTCAGGAACAAGAAATTGATTCCGAGCTACAACATCTGCTTACCTCCACAACGTCACTAGTTCTTAGCAAATTCACAATGAGTGATTCACAAATTATCTATTGTGACACATTTAGCGCAGAAATCTGACCGTACATACTGAAAAGCCTTAGAAAGAAAATTTTTAACGCAGTCCATGGCCTCGCCCATCCGAGTGGTCGTGCCACCAGCCGACAAATTCGACAAAAATTCGTCTGACCAAATATGAACCGTGACATTGCCGAGTGGTCCCGGACTTGTCTGGCATGCCAAAAAGCCAAAGTCCACCGCCACAACAAGAACGCTTTTGGGACTTTTCCAAACACCAATGCACGGTTCGAGCATATTCATCTGGACATCGTCGGACCATTACCATCCAGTCAGGGGCAAAGGTATTTGCTCACCATGATTGATAAATTTTCCAGATGGCCAGAAGCAGCCCCAATATTCGACATTACAGCCGACACAATAGCCACAACGTTCTACAACACATGGATCAGTCGTTATGGCGCCCCTCGAGTCATCACATCTGATCAAAGAAGCCAATTTGAAGGAGAGCTGTTCCAAACACTATTGAGACTTTTTGGTGTTAAGAGACAACGAACAACTCCTCACCATCTAAAGAGCAATGGTCTCGTGGAGCGTTGGCACCAAACTCTGAAAGCAGCCCTAATGTGCCACGACAGTCAACGGTGGACTGAAGTTTTTTCAACTGTCTTATTCGGACTTCGCACCGCTTTCAAACAAGACCTAAACTCCTCCGCAGCAGAATTACTGTTCGGCGCCCCTTTGAAAGTGCCCGGTGAGTTTTTTATCGATACAGAATTTTCACATCAGACCCGCCCACCGTTTAGCGCAGATAAATTTAGATCCGATATTCGAAAGATGCGATCGCAGCCTGCTAGTCGTTATGATCGGGCAAGAATTTGTGTCTATAAAAATTTACAAACCAGCACCCATGTATTTCTTCGAGTGTAGAGTGTTGGAACCACCCTACACTGGTCCACATCCGGTCGTCACGCAAATTAACGACCAACTTTACGAAATCCAGGTCAATGGAAGGAATCTGATCATATCCACAGACAGGTTAAAGCCTGCCTATCAACTAGTCGAAGACGACGCCGAACCGCGACCGGTTCGAACATATCCTGGGGTACGCAAAAAGGTTCGTTTCGCCACGAACTAAGTTGTTCGGAGGGGAGTACTGTGGGAACCAGGCATAACAGGCATCTACCTTACCGACTGCGCTGGACAGGAAGTACGTCGCCTCTACAACCGGAACATGACGAATAGATATTATTAATTGTATCATGGAATAAACCAGTGTTAGTAATGAGCTTTGTGTACTTTAATACGTACAGTTCCCCAGTATCTTTTCCTGGCACGAAACCTGCTTGCTCTTCTGAAAGCTGTGGTAAAAGAAATTGTTTAAGACGGTTATGTAAGATATGCCGGAAAATCTTACTAGTGTGAGAGATAAGTGAAACTGTTCTATAGTTGCTGTATTCCAAAGGCAAACTTTTTTTGAATATTGGAATAAACAGCGACTCTCGCTAATCTTCAGACCATTGTTCTGTTTTCCATATTAGGTTACATATTTTGTGAAACAGCTCGATTCCCGTCTCGCTCAGAGGCTTTAGGACCTCTGCTGTTATTTGATCCGGGCCTGATGATTTTTTGTTTCGGAGAAGTTTTATGGCATTTTCATCTTCTATCTTATAGTATCCATTATATCAGGCTTTTGAGGGGCAATTATTTGTTTTGACAGTTGTTCTAAATTGCCTTTGTAAAGTGTTTCTTTCTATACTTTCCAAACTTCTGCTATACCGTGACCGTTATTTATAATTTCTTCGTCGTCATTCTTTATTACTTGGGTGCGTTAGTGAATTCTTTAGAATATCTTACTTTGTTAAACAATTCTCGAGACTCATGTTTGTCGGAATGTTCCTCCAGTTCCCTGCAGACCTCTTCGATGTGGTCAGTTTTATCTCGTCTAATCTTATCCTGGTTCTCTTCAATTGGCGCTTAATTTGCGTTTTTTCTTTTGATAATTCCAATGCTTCAGTTATCCACTCTTCAGTGCTTCTCCAGGCCTCTTATACATTATCGGGGACAACCGGAGCGTCGTGATTTTCTAAGACCCGTTTATAAAGGTCTACATCGATGTTTGGTCTAGGATTGCTGTTGGGCATAGTTTGGTTTTGTATTTGGCCCAAAGTAGCTTGTGGATGTTTTAGATTGTTCTTTGCCATCGATTTTTTATTAAAATCAAATCGATGTGATTTTTAGTTAGACCATCTGGGCTGTTTCAGGTCGAGAGGCCTCTGGGATGATGTTGAAGCAGTGTTTGCGACTGTGAGGTTGTTCTCAACAGCAACATTAATAGTTTCTCTGCTCACCCATTCCGCTTTCCTAATCCGGGTCTTTCTACATTTGATATATTTTAGGATACAGTACCGCTAATATTTGCGTTGAAATCGCTTATAACAACCAGTTGGTCGCCTATAGCAAGCTACTTGCTAGCTTTAAGATTTCGCGTTTCAAAATACTGTAGATCTCTTCAACTTTTCTAGCTTCTTTTGACTTTATATTCTGCAACTCAGCAACGTTTGATTTGCGTTTTTTACCACGATTCAGCTTATTTTGCAACGAAGGCAAGAACATTACAGCCGCCATGATGCACAGCATAGGCTGAAGATATCTGTGGCGCGACTAGTTGTAACCATGCCCTGGGCACTCTCACTTAAAAACCTAGCCAAGAAAAACTGATTTTATAGTCGCCAGAGGCGCTACAGACGATAAGGAGCTACAGGGATAAAAATATTCTGTGGATGAATGCGATAACGCAAGTCAAATGTCAAATAAATCTTCCCCATTGTTGTTTGTGGGTTTGTCATGGACAAGATGTCTGTCGATGTTGATTATTTGCTATCATCCAAAGAAAAAGCCTATGACGATTTTATTCCTTTCTGACGATATAATCTGTGATAAGTTGTATGATTTCGTGCCTCATGCTTCCTGCACATACTGGATTGTGATATGTTTCCCCATGTTCTCCAATACGTAATTTGTGAATATTTTGTTGGGTAAGTCGAAATCACTTTAGCTTATTATTCAGGTGGCATTTTCATCAAGAAACAAATAAATGGAAAACCGGATATTTTTCTCATTAGAGCTAGTGCATAGCATCGAGTTGCTCACAACTGAAACCGGTACTTAATACCTCTGTATTATGTAGAATTACAGATTAATATTTCAACAGAAATCTCTGTTCAAAATGAATAATGATATTTTCAAATTTTTTGTGCCAGTGCTGTTCATTGCTGTCTTGAAGGCTGTTGTTGAGATTACACGGCTTCCTATCACAAAAGGCGTAGGTTTTAAAGTTATTCCTAAAAATGCTCCAAAGATTTTTTTATCTGTAAAAAGTATTTATATAAACAATAAACAACAAGTAATATATATATTTATATGTATTTTTGTGTAGTTGT